ACTAAGATAACATCCTTCCTTTCGCATTTAGGCGGCCATTCAATAAAATTCATTGCTATATCTTTCCAAACACCATCAAGAATAGACGGTGGCTATAGTAGTCCCGGATAGGCCACCTTTTCCGACTTAGCCTTCATACAAACATCACACTCCTCCACATAAGTCTTCACTATTTTCTTCATGAGTGGCTAATAAGAAAAACCTTTAAACCTTACGTAGGAGTTTTATACCTTAGCATATCCTCCAATAGTAGAATAATGGGTTGTTTCCACTAGCTTCCGTTGCGGCTCTCTATCTTCTCTAATGTATAATCTTTGTTTATATCTCAATATATCATCTCGTGTAGGTATACCGAGGGAAAATAGTAGGGTCAATAGCTTTCGTAGTTATTATCTCTTATACCTTACTCGTAATTGTTTTAAAAAGCCATAATTTCACTATACCGGTAGGAACCATAGCTATGATCGCACTACTGGCTGGCTTCTTACAAGCTATCCTTGACCCCTTCATATGAAAATCCATTTTTAGACAAACCATCAACCATAATATTCTCCTTTCCCTTCCCGTAAATAATCTTATACCTTAGTCCTAAGAGCTTTGTATGTCATTTTCTTTAGATGTAAGTATGGATCTTATGTTCTAATAAATATTTAAAACACTCATGATTAGTCTTGATAGTAAACTTGTTAGCCTCCGGATGGTACCTCCATTTATCCACAACCATGAGAATAGCCAAATATTCTTTCTCATAAATTAACATGCATTGGTTTTTAGGACATAAAGCCTTACTAAAGAATGGCAATGGCCTCCCTTCCCGAGACAAGTAACACCCTAATCTCATTACCACTTGGATTAGTTTCCAATACAAAAGGTTTTGGGAACTAGGTAAGGCTAAGATAGGAGCCTCATTAAGTGTTTTCTTCAAGTGTTCAAAGGCTTATTAGGGCTATTCATTCTAACCAAAATTGTTCCTTTTTAGCAATTTAGTTAATGGCTTACCGATTACGCTATAATTTTAGATGAATTTCCTATAATAGCCTACCAGTCTTAGAAGTCCCCTTAGTTCTTTCACTCGCTTTTGGTATTAGCCATTCTTGAACAACAACAATCTTATTTAGGTCGGTAGCCACCCTTGTACTCGAAATGATGTGCTTTAAGTACTCTATTTGTATTTGATATAAAGTACATTTAGACCTTCTAACAAATAATCTATGCTTTCTTAGAACATCTAACACTCTAGCAAGATGTATAATGTGGAACTCTAATGTAAGGCTATAGATCAATATATTGTCAATGAACACTAGCACAAGTTTGCTTAAGGATGGCTCTAGTATAATGTTCATCATAGTTTGAAAAGTAGTAGAGGCATTGATTAAACCAAAAGGCATTATCTTGTATTTGTAATGTCCTAGTTAAGTTTTAAATGTAGTCTTCTCAATGTCCTCATCATGCATTCCGACCTAATGATAGCTCGAACATAAGTCGATCTTAGAGAAGAAAGAAGATCACTACAACTCATCTAATAAATCATCAATCGTTGGGATTGGACTTTTTTTTTTTTTTATAATTATATCATTCATTTTTCTATAATCCATGTAAAATCTCCAAGCACCATCCTTCTTCTTAACCAAGAGTATTAGAGATGCAAATGGACTCGCAACTTGGCTAGGTAACTCCTTATTCTAACATCTCTTTGACTAATTCTTCTTTTTTTTTCCTACTCAAATGAGCTTCTATATGGTCTAACATTCATTACCTTTGCTCCAAAAATCAATGGAATTTTATGGTTAAATTACCTCTTAGGAGGTGATCCCGTTGGTTTTGCAAACACATCTTTATATTGAAGTAATAATGCCTTAATGTCTTTTTTTTCTCTCGCTATTTTCTCATAGGCTACCATAGAAAAAAATTTCCCCACTAACCCGCACATAGTTTTCTTTAATTCCTTGGTATACTCGTCGGCTAAAATCTACTATAAACCTCTTTGTTTAATATTTATGATACCTTTAAGCTCCATCATCCTTTTTTTTTTTTTTCGAAAGATAACTTCATGTTAATGAAGCCAAGCATGATAGGAGAGTACCTCTTGAGTCGATCCACTCCCAAAACTATGTTACACCCTCCCAACTTAAACACCCATAGATTAGCCCTTAATTCATGCCTTAACATGAACCATGTAAAGCTAAGACTCTTAGCTTGGTATTTCATAACATCTCTATTAGTTATTGTTACAAATAATATGATAATATGTTTTACTTTAGCATTGACTTCGTAACCAAACCATAATTAATGAAGTTATGTGTACTGCCAGGTATCAATCAATATGATAATCTCTTTATACTTACAACTTCCTTTGATCTTAATGGTGTTATTTGTATACTCGTACTATTAAGGCATGCAAAGATAACCTATAATCTTCATCAATCTTGTCTCCTAACAATCATTTTCCCTTAATACCTCTTTTACACCTACAAATTCCTCCCATTCCTCTTCAACCTCTTTCATCACATGCATGGATCTTTTTACACATTGATGGCCAAGAGAATATTTCTTTGCATATCTAAACCATAATCATAATGTCTTTCTTTAGTCTTGTAATATTTCTATATGGTTTTTTGAAATGGCGGAATTGATAGGTTTGTGCTGGTTGTTGGCTTCGAGTTTGATTGTGGAAGGGTAATTCTTTGGTACCGATTGGGATATTGTTAGAAAATAAGGTTTTTGGGATAATTCGACTTTCTTGGATATGGTAATAGTGGATTCTTCCTATCATTCCGCTTGATCAAAGGCTTGGATGAAGGTATTCGATTTTAAAATTTTAAGCATTGGTCTTATATCTTCTTCGAGTCCTCTAATGAAGCTAAAGACAAAGTAAGATTCAAGAAGATGAGGATTAACCACATCCATCAAAGGCTTAAGCTCTTCAAACTGTTTCATATATTCATCAACATTCCTATCTTGACGTAGCTTATTAAACTCCTCAACTACATCCTCTTTAATACCAAACCTCATGCAAATCTCCTTGACAAACTCTTCCTAATTATCTAAACCATTCCTTATCACAAAAATTTTAAACTAAATTTTTGCTCGACCTTCTAAATACATGGATGCAATCTCTATCTACCGGTGAACGAGTATAAAATTCATCTTAAAGAACCTTTTACATTTACGTATCCAATCATGTAGATTTTCTCCCCAAAATTGGTGTAGTTCAACCTTAGGAATTGAAGCATTGTATCCAGATTTCAAGAATTGAGGAGTCAAAATAGGCTCACTATGACTTACGAGTAAATGCTAGTTTATGAGCTTGATTTGCTCCATAGGAGGAAAAACAAGCTGATCTTGGTTCTTTTTCAATTTCTTTCTCTCGCCTTTAGCAATCGGATTGACTTCATTAGAGCTTCAAATTGAAGCTATGTTTGCCGAGCCTCTTCTTTCATGCTTTTATTAATATTTTTCATATTCTCCTAAAATTCTTGATGCAAGTTTTGAATTTGCTCCTCTTGTCTCTTATTATGATCCTTCGATGTTCTTATTTGATTATTATCCACCATGGGTGTTGGATTGGTTAGTCCTTAGAAGGTTTGATAATAATTTTTTAAGAGCTTTTCTTAACAAAGAGATTTAAAACAAGATTGGGGAAGAAAAAGAAGAAGGTTTTGAGAAAAAAATTCTCATTTGATTTCTTAATGCAATTAAATTGAATGAATTCCATAATTCCTTTCTTCCTCTTTTTATTCTAACCATTAACTGATTATGTAGGCTCATCTAATGGTGCAACTAATTGCCACATAAGCCATTAATGTATAGCTAATTCTTTAACAGAGAACCCTAAGTCTTAGTTCCTAACACCCTCTCCCCAGTAAGAGGGGATGAGAACACAAGGAATTTGGTTCCTTCAGCTTCCTCATATGCGATAGCAGTGGGAAGAAGATTGGGGAAGAAGAAGAAGAAGGTTCTGAGAAGAAAACCCTCATATGCTGGCTACGGTACTGTGAGATATTACCTTATCTCCTCGGTAATCTACCCTAGTGCATGATGAACCAGTGTGCCTCTTCTCTCCCGTGGAATTAGATGCAGCAGCTTGTCGATTCCATAATACCATTGTCATGAAATTCTCAGGAGGACGCCCTCCAATCCATGAAATTCAAACTCATATTAATAGATCATGGAAGTTATAGTCGGTGGCAATAGTGGGGTTATTGGATCCAAGGCATGTGATGGTTCACTTAGAATCGGAGATTGATATGATTATGGCTTAGTCAAGGGAGGATCGCAAAATCAACTGGTGTATGTATCGCCTATTTCGATGGACACCAAATTTCACCTTTTATCGAGATTGTCCAAAATCAACCATGTGATGGTTCGCCTGCAATTGGTAGGTTTTTGCAGATTGATTATAGAACTCTCGCCCTTTCACATTCTATGTTTGGACGAGTCTGTTTAGAGTTTGATGTCTCAGCAGTTTTGCCTTTGCAAGTATGGATTGGTACATCCAAAGAGCAAGGTTTCTAACAGAGAATTGAGTATGAAGGAAACCTGCTGTACTATAATTTTTTTAATTCACACTTGGGCTCATAGTATAACTAGTTTGTTAGGATTTGAATATGTGATCTCTTGTTAGGAGAGACTGCTGTACCGTAATGGTTATGGCTTAATTGGACATATGGAGAAGATTTTAGAAAGAGAAACAAACACCAGCAGTATTGTTTAAAATAATGAGCCTGCCAAGAAGCTGACAATGGAAGTTCTAAATAATCTTACAAAATAGTAGCAACGACATAAGCAGGAGGACAGTGGGGGAGGGGAAATCAAATACCAATACTAAAATTGGGGAACACTGGACTCTAGTTAAGCGAGATAAAAGAAAAGAATTATGGAAAGGAGACCAAGTCAGTAAAGGTGAAGTTCAGGCCGTAGATAGCGCTGAATATATATTCGACCAATTTGGTGACCATCAGCAATAGACCACTTAATAGATATAACACGCAATAGGAGAGATGACTGGTGCTCCTTTGACGTTGGAGAAGCATGTTATGATAGCCAAAGAAGAACAGGATGTTGCAGTCATCACAAAAACTCTTTTATTGTGTTGGATGGTGTCAACTGTAATGATTAACCATATGGAGATTAACTCTATGTAGGGATAGTTATCGAGACTCAAGGGCAGCCTATAACACAAAAATACCCAAGTTATACAATAAAGGTAAATGACAAGAATCGAGAAGAACATCAGTTAAATTATGAAATCATAAGTACTGGTTAAGAAAGAGGAAGAATGAAAGATATGTTAATTGTGTCCAACGCTTTGAAAAATCACCAATATAGGGCAGACAACGAGTAGATAAATTTAAGAGCTTTGACAGTAAAAAATAATGGAGGTGGAAAGTGTAGCACAGAGTTAGAAGATCATTGGAACTGGCAGGGGTGGATTTCAGATGGACAAAATAGCATGCAACAAGGTAAAAGAAGAGGAAATACATGTCCAACTTATTCTGTAGACAACATTTTTCAATAGCATCTACATGTGGATGAAGTTCGTAAGGCACTTAACCAGTTTAATAGACAGGTAAAAAAGAAAACAAGGCTCAATCGGAGTTTAAGAGGGTTACTAGAGTAGCCTTAATGGCAAAAGGTTCTTTTACTTCCTATCTTGCTTAATGTTAGTTCTAATTTGGAATGGTAGAGGAGTAGGTAATAAAGCTACTATTGAGTATATCAAATTGATGAAAACTCAGCATAATCCGATAATTATGGTTATTCGAGAACCTAAATTGGAAGGTAGCAGGGTTGTCAGACTTGCTAAGAGCTTACAGTATTCACATTATCTACATCAGAATCTAGTTAACACGTATGTGTGTGTTTTACAAAAACGATTTGGTCGACTTAACTTGGATCGAGGCTGGAAAGCAATAAATTACTGTGTCGGTGAAATATGATAGCTGACAGGACATTATATGTTCTTTGGTATATGCCAACTGTACAAGACTGGAGAGACAGGAGCAATGGAACGATCTAGCAAGATTTGCTTTGTAAGTACATGTTCTGTGGCTAGTGGGGGAAGACTTCAACATCATTGCTGATATTAGCGAAAAGGTAAGGGGTACGGGTTTTAATTTTCCTAGTATGGAGGAATTTAATAATTTTTACTGACAGATTGAGTTAGATGATATTGGCTTTCAGGACAATAGATTTACTTAGTATTATAATAAAGGAGCATGTGGAAAAATCTAACAGAGACTGGATAGAAATACTAGTCAATGTAAGTCTTAAGGCTAACCTTCCTGCTATTATAGTAACTCATTTGGCAAGAAATCTATATGACCATTCTCCTCTTCTAGCACAGTTCAGTCAACAACACTCGGGTCCTAAATTTTTTTGGTTTCATAAAATATGGTTGGATCACGTGGGTTTTCATGGATTTCTGAGTTCGACTTGGGTAGAATCTTTTTAGGGAAGACCTTTATATGTGCTTTGCTAAAAACTCAATCATCTTCAACGCCAGTTAAAAACTTAGAACTGGCAAGTCTTTAGAAATATTCATCGAAAAGAATAGAGGCTATTCAAGATAGAATTTATCAAGTTGGATGATGATCTTTTTTGGTAGTGGAATGATCATTCGGTTGAGCTTCTAATAGAGGCTAAGACTGAATTGAATAGATTTTTTAAATGCAAGGCAGAAATGTTACAGCATCAAGATAGCTAGAGTAAAATGGATCACAGATGGTGATAGAAACACAATATTTTTCCACACCTGTATTAAAGGTAATGCTAAAGAGGCAAAGTTTAGAATCAGATTAGAGGGTGGTAGTTTGAGTGAGGATATCAATATTATAGGCAATATAGCTATGGGCTTTTTGAGGAATTATTTGCATTTAGACAGTATACTATATGTGATTCCTTATTTGCAGGATTGGATAAAAAAGCTACTGATATCCAAAACCAAGCTCTATCAGTAATTCCTTCAGAAAAGGAGATTTAGGAGGCTATTAAAGGTTTAGACCCTTCGAGTGCACCAAGGTGGGTGGATTCACGGGTTATTTTTATCAGGGTGGATGAAAAATTATTAAACCTCATGTGGTTTGGGCTGTTTAGGAATTTTTTATCGGAGGATATCTTCCAGAAGGTTTGGCTTCTAATACTCTAGTCCTTATTCCCAAAATTCTGAATCCATCAGCTTTTAAGTGACCTAAGGCCTATTAGTTCATCTACCTTTGCATGTAAGCTCATATCTAAAATTCTTATACTTAGGTTGGCTTCTGTGCTACCTAATATAATTTCTCCAGAACGGACAGGTTTTGTTAAAGGGAGAAATATTACAGAAAACATAACAATTGCACGAAAAATAATGAATGAGTTGGATAGAAAGATAAAAGGGAGTAACTTTATATTTAAGCTCGACATGTCAAGGCGTATGATAAGCTTGAATGATCGCTTTTACTAAGAGCTGAGAGAGTTGATCAATAATGTGATATAGTTTATAGAACTATTAGCAACGTGTTATACTCAATAAGGATTTAGGGGCAGAACTTTGGTTTCTTTAAATCCAGTTGGGGTGTGAGATAAGGAGATCCATTGTCTCCTCTCTTGTTTATTCTCACTCAACAAGTGCTATCTTTTAATCTTCAGAAAGTGGTTTGGAATGGCCTTTTTTACTCCATATCATATGGGAAGGAGGTCTCAAATACTGTTGTTGACTACATATGAAAGAGCTTTTGGACAATTGATTAATGTGGTAAAGAGTGATTTCTATGCACCTAAAAGATCATCCAAAGTGAGAGCTACCAGGAACAGGATGCTCTTATCAGGAATTCCCTATGAAATATTTAGGGGGACCTCTATTCAAAGAACCTCTGCAAAGAAGATTCTTTCATGATTTGAAAACGAAGCAAGCTAATAAAATAAGTAAGGGAACGCCAAACTGTTGTCTGTTGGGGCAAAAATTACTTTGATTAATTGGTGTTTAGCAACTTACCAATCCATACCTTGGTAGTTGTTCCTACACCTCAGACCTTGATTATGAGGATGGAGAGAATAATGGCTGATTTTTTTTATAAAGTGCTAATGGTGAACCTCGGCACCACTGGGTTGCATGGTCTAGGATTTGTCTGCCTGTGGAGGAAGGAGGATTGGGAATTCAAAGTTCATCTCAGGTAATGGTGGCTTTATAAGCCAAACTAGTGTGGGCTTATTTATAAGGTAAAGGTTTATGGGTTTCTTTTATGCAAGATATGGAAATCCACATGGTTGGGCTTATTTACTTGTAAAATCATTGCTGATATAGAAGTCTATCCCTCGATAAATTGTTCTAGTCAGAGGGTGTACTGTGTAGACAGTGTAGTACTTGGGTGTTAGGAAGATGAGAGGTTCCTTTGTGGTTGGTGTGGGGCTTTACTTAATCCCCCACTTTTTTTTTTTTTTTTTTAAGACAAAAAGCTTATGGTAAAATCAGCTTGGAAGAATATTGAGGAATTTTTGCCGTTTGTCCCAAATCATCTTCATTAGCAGGTTAGAGAAATTCAACTGTATGAAAATGAAGAAGATGGTTTGGCTTGGTCTTCGAATTTATCAAGAAGGTTTGAAACCAAAGCCTTATGGGATTATGTTCGACATAAAGGCCGACAGGTAGAATGGCGTAAAACATTTTGGTCTCATTGGATTTCGAGTAAGGTGGGTTGATTTATATGAAAGTGGATTCATCAGGCAGTTCCTACTAATTCTCGGCTTAGAGATTAAAGAATTCTAATTGTCTTTATGTGTCACTCTTGTTTTCAAAACAACCATGACACATTTGATCATTTGTTTTGGCAATCAGAGGTGGTCTTGTAGGTTTGGTCTATTTTTTGAAGAAAAAATTTAAATGCCAACTAGACATGCTTCGAATGCCTATCTTTTCACTACATGGATATGTTCTACGAGGAATCAAACAAGTTAGTGTCAAGTTATAATTTTTTTTTTGTTTTATGGGAAATTTCAAAAAGGTGTAACGTCGGCTTTGATAATGCTGTTATGACTATTGAATTGGCTATGAGATAAGTTAGAAATAATCTTATAAATATGCGTTCAGTTTATAAGCTAAAAGCTTGTTAAATAGTGTGGCCTTGAGAAGTATTTAGAGTTTATGTTTACCAATCATTTCTCCAAAGATTAAAAGGGTTATGTGGTTGAAATGAAATTATCCTCCTCCTAATATGTACAAGCTTAATACTAACGGCTCAATAGTGAATAGTTTTTGTTGTGGTGGCGGTGTTATAAGGGGATAGTTAAGGCCAAGTGATAATTTGTTTATCAAATTTTTATGGTTGGGTATAGATATGAAGGGAGAGATTTCTACCTTACGAGATGGACTTCAAATGTGTAAGGAGCTCCACTTGACTGATGTGTGAGTCAAATCCGACCCTCTTATTGCGGTTAATGCTATTAAGAGTAATATGCAGGCATCTTGGCAATATATGCATTAGATTTGCGAATGTCAGACTTTAACAATTAATCACAAGCTAGATCACATATGACAAAACATAATTTAGTGGCTGATAGTTTAGCGAATATTGTCCATGTTCATAGAAGAAAACATTATTTACAAGTGAAAGATTATTTACACTATAGATAGAAAATGATAGCTTCAACATCTATGGCTATATTATTTACACTATAGATATAAAATGATAGCTTCAACATCTATGGCTATAGAAAATAACAATGTTATGTACTTATTTAGGGTTAGACTTCTTTGTCCCCTTTCTATAAGTTAGGTTGGTTTGTATCTATTTGTATTTAATTTTTTTCAATCAATAAAATTTATCAAGATAGTGCTTTTGTTTCTTGAAGAAGAAAAAAAGAAAGAAATCTCAAACTACTAAATAGGATTTAAATGTAATATAAATAAAAGAGATTTTTCAAGACAATTATTATTGATTAAGCAAGTTTTCAAGACAACCATAATAAACCATTTAGGGTTGAATGACAAAACACCATGGGTACAACTTTTGAGTATTAATGGTTGCCAATTGTATCATTCTTCCTAGATGGAAAAGATCTCATCCAAAAGATATGATCATTTTTGATAAATTAGGTTGAGAAATCTCAAACATTAAAAGTACATCATTCTTCCTAGATGGAAAAGATCTCATCCAAAACATATGATCATTTTTTATAGATTAGGTTGAGAAATCTCGAACATTAATATTAGAATGAATTTGAATAGGGGTTTTTCCATTATAGACCTTTTACTCTTTGAATTTTTTTAAATGAGATCCCTCTATTTTTTTCTTTTTTTTTCACTTGATTAAGACCTTCTACTCTTTATTTAGTTTTAATTGAGATCCACCGTTATCACATCATTTATTAGAAATCTAATATGCTCGTTACTATTAGACTCAACTAATGGAATATTGACATTTGATATTACAAGTCCTACGATACACGAGAGGATCTTATGAGGATCTCAATCAAAATTAAATGAAGAATATAAAGTCTTAATCAAATAATAATAATAATAATAAAAAGAATATAAGGCCTTCAAACTTTGTATAATTAAAGTTAAAATTTAATATACGAGAGGCAATTAATGATGGTTCGATCTAGAAAAGAAAGAATGGAGGGTTGTTCTCTTTCTCTTGAGCAATTTTTCATTCTTCTCTCTCTCTCTCTTAAGGACAAATGAAGGGTTGTTTGCATTGGGAATGAATAAAAGAGTTGTATAAACAATAAGAAGTAACAAATTCTAAAAATCAAATTAAAAGTAATAAAACACTCAAAAGAGCACTTAACAAGTAAAAAGAAAATGATGATGAGGATGAGTGAATCAAGAAATAATAAAGTTGGTAATAGAGAAGAAAATGTAATATGATGTGGCAACGAGATGATTGATTTCCCGGATCTCTTGTTGCGAAGATTGCAAAATTACTCAAAAGAGAGAACATTCCTCCATTCTTTTTCAATTCTCTATACCGAACATGTCATTAATAGCCTTTGTATATTGAATTTTAACTTTAATTATGCATTTGCAAATGATAGTATACTAAAAGTTCGAAGACCTTTTATTCTTTTTTTATTTGATTAAAATCATATTCTCTTCATTTAGTTTTGATTGAAACCTTCCCAAGATCCTCTATTGTGTTTTGGGACCTACAATTTCACGTGTCGGTAATTTAATGGCTAAGTCTAATAGTAACATATCACGTTAGATTAATAATAAACTATGTCATAACGAAAGGTCTCTATCAAAACTAAATGAAGAGTAAAGAGTTTCAATAAAAAAAAAAAAAAGTGTCTCAATAAAAAAAAATCCAAAGAATAGAGAATCTATTTAGGAGAAAAACCCAATCTAAATATTTGGAAAAAGCTCAATCTTATAAGCATTATGATCTTTCCTATAATTTTGCCTGGACCAATAGTAAACAATGTATTTTAAATATAATTTTAAGTTTTTAAAATGTATTTTTTAGTATTAAATTAAATATATTTTATCTAAAAATATAAATCAAATAATAGAATATTTATTTATTTGGATTTAAAACATGAAACAGTAAATATTTTTTTTTAGTTTATAAACATAAGCATAATATTGTGTTCAGGCTAGTGATCTGTGTAAATAGAAAGATAAAGATAACTTACAAGTCATTTCTTTCAAATTTTCATAAATATATTTGTTCGGAAACATAATATTTCTAATGGTAGTGCAGCTTAGATTAAAAAAAAAAAAAACATGTGCATTCATGTTTTTTGGTGGTTCCCCACGCGTTACCAACGGATACTGATTGCATTTATCTATTGATTTAAACGAATTTTAATTATGTCAATCCATATAAAAAAAACTCATGCTACAGAAATAATTGACAAAAGAGTATACTAAAGAATACAAACAAACTGCATGCTACAACTGATTGGTTGAAGGATATAATTGAAAAATGATGTAATATATAAGTATGCGTCGACAAATTAATTTCTCCACTTTTTATTTTTTATTTTTTTTAGCATAGTAGATTTTTTTTTTTATAATACTTTATATTCTCAGATAATAAAATCATACGCACAGCCTGGTAGAAAATATTCTTTACTTTTACAATAGTGAGAATAAGTAAAATTTTATTAACATATATAGTATGGTGAGACATTGAATGTGTTTAAAAATAATATTTTCAAAGTAACCTCAATTATTTAAAATAATATTTTTTCCTTTATTAATATTGAATATAGTCGAGAAATACTAATGTGTATTAATTATAAAGTACTAGACATTCTTTACTACTGAAAAATAAAATAAAATATGAGATACGAGCTTAATATAAATACGTGGGAGATTCTAAAGCGCTTGTCGTCCATAAGTTATATTAAGTTTATTGTAACACCAAGAGTCCTGCTGTTATTATGTTGTGTTGTTGAGTATTGTAGGTTAAAAGCAGAGTTCGATACATACTTACCATGTAATGCTTACAATGTTTAAAGTCAGTAAATAGCATTGGGTTAAATGCTATTGTTGTATTTTTGAGATATAAAATGACAATAAAAACTATATAAAAATAATTTTAAAATATGTATTTGATTTATATTAAATAACTACAACTTTTTGATTGTACATCTTACATGCATGCATAGTTTTTCTAGAGAAATTCTTAAGTTTAAAAACTAAAATAAATAAATAGGATGATACTATTCCCACACACATCATTTCAAAAAAAAAAAAAAATCTCAATAAAATCAATAATATATATATCGTTACTTGACATATAAAACTTCTAGTTTAAAAAGAGTTAAGAAAAAGAAGTTGTCACCTATTATGAGAAGAAATTAAAAACCTAATCAACTAGTCCCGTAGAGATTATAAGTAAGAAGTTGATTATGTTTGTCAAGAAGATAAAATTAATAAAAAAAAACATCATTGTTAAAAAAAGTTACTAACTTTGTCCTATTCCTAAGTCATATCCTATTTGCCGAGATATTTCTAAATCTATTTTCAAGTTTATTGATGGATCGGGTAATCATGAATTTATAATTAATCTAGAAAAAAATTAATTCTTCACATTTTTTACTAAGGTCTTTTTGGTCATACAAAGGTTTTAATTATTTATCATAGAATCATATTCCTCAAAAAATGAGTCGCGTCAATTTCACATTAGATCTAGTTAAGTCCCGACACGATTGTCATACTAAGAGCACATCAACATATTAACACATTAAATTTGATTAAGAATGATGATGGAATCATATGAAATTTTTGTTGGGCTCTAAAATCGGGAGTCATGTCAATTTAAGATTAGACTTGATAAAATCTTTACATAAACATCATGCTAGGAACATTTCAACAAATTAAAGGCCAACCAATTGATTAAAACTCGCCACAAATGAAAAAAAAATTATAACACATGCTATTGTTATTATTTTTTGAAATGATTATAGAATCTCACGGAGCTATCATTGGTACCTAAAAATAGAAAACTCGTTGTACCAATTTAAAATTTTGACTCAATAAAATCTCATCCAAAATTTACCCAATCACAAGGATACACCAAGAACATCACATATATAGCACATATTAAATGAAATCAAAATAAATATCAAATGATATCGGAGATTGTGAAATTTGAAACATAACTCGAGGATGCATGCACATAGAATATTAAAATTTTA